AGCCCCTAGCACGCAAGCTTAAATATACGTGTCCAGAACTGTGTGCGGTCAGCCACGGTTCTGGATAGTCCCCTGCGTGTCCCAGAATGTAGATTAGCCCCAGGCATGGTTTGGGACACGCGCCGAGTGTCCCAAACCATGCCCAAGCACGGTTTGGGACAAGGCATCCGCGTGTCCCAAACTGTGCTCAGTCCCCAGGCACGGTTCGGGACACGCGCCGAGTGTCCCAGACCGTGCCTGGGCATGGTTTGGGACAAGGCCATCGCGTGTCCTGAACTGTGCTCGACCTGAGGCACGGTTCTGGACAAACACTTCGTTTATCTACAAGTTGATTTGCTCTAGTCTGTCGTGGATACGCGTCAGGACTATCCAGACCGGTGCGTGGGGTTGGTGGATAAGCAAGTGTTGTTTCCGATTCCTGGACTGAGCTTGGGACAGTCTGCTTTCTTGGGTATACTACGTGCTATGTTGTATCAAGAACTGTGTTCGCACTGTGTTGCAGAATGATACAAGACTCTCTGTTTGGACACTACATGTAAGTCGTAGACCAGCGTGAAATGTAAAAATGTACTTTACAGAGCAGGAAATACACCGATTCTTTCTTATACTTGCCCCTACGAAAAACAAAGATGGCGGCCTAAAAGAGTAAACAACACCACGAGAAGGCTCCTCCCTTAAAACAATAAGCTCCACCCCCAAAGCACGGAATGGGACAAGGCCCTTGTGTGTCCAGAACTGTGCCCGGTCAGGCACGGTTTGGGACAGTCCCCGCGTGTCCGAAACTGTGCTCAGTCCCGAGGCACGGTTTGGGACACGCGCCGTGTGTCCCAAACCATGCCCAGGCATGGTTTGGGACAAGGCACGGTTTGGGACACAACACCTTTCATATCCCGGTGTCATCATCAGATTGTGTTTCCACCCATATCTAAGTCGATATGGTTCATCTGAAATAGAAGCGCCTACAGACGCATAGAGTTATACCTTATCCCCTTGTCATGGCCAGAATGGCCAGAAAAAACAGATAGTCAGGTCACCTATGCAGGTGCTACCTTGAAGATCAGAACAGATAAGCATTAACGCCGCCATAATCTTTTATGCATTTGAAGCTATTTCTTGTCGTTTATTATGTTGTTATTAAACGAGCCAGGTCCCTAAAATAGATAAGTACACCGTACCCTTGAAGATCATATGAGTAACAGTCACCAAAGAGTGTATCTTCGTGAATCATCTTTACTTTGTTTTGACTTTTGAGGTAGCGCATGCCACTTTTGTCAGCTGTTTCTTGTGAGGATTTGTTAAAAACGAATAATGTGCACCCAGGGTCCACACACAATGAAGTACTCCCCACTGTGGCTTCTCCAGCAGCTTGAGTAGTAAATTGACCCCAATAAAAACATAAACATACTCAATAGAGTTAAGACCATTGTCCCCCTCCCTGAGCCTCCCTGCCTCATTAACTGACAGCCCAACTTTCAAGTGTAATGTACACTTATTTGGTGGTTATTTTCTGACATTTCCAACAACTACTAAAGCACAAGGTCAAAGGCAAACTCTCTGCCTACATAAATTTTGTGAATAACTTGCTAATATTATAAAATTGATATAATAAGCACATCTAAATTTATAAACTTCAAGTGCCCGGCGGGACCCCTAGACAAACGTTTTTTTCAAACAAATTTGGTATGTATGTATTCGTCAGTAAAAACTCTATAACACCCCATCGATCCCAGGTGTATCATTATTATTACAACAGAGATATTATCTAATATGTTCAGATTTTTGGCAAAAATCACATGCTTGCAATATTCATACAGGGTCAGCAAAGTTTTGGAAATGTTGTGCACTCTGGGCCCGACTCAGTGTTGTAGAACAACTTGTCTACTTTCTATACATGTGTTCAGTAACTCAAAAGAATGTTGTGCGTGGATGCGCTTTTAGGGCAAAAATAAGATCACAAAAATTGAACTTCTGGCTTCTTATGAGCTGAAATCTGATCACTTTGTTGGGATAAGTGGACAATACAGCCAATTAACTTGTTGACATAGCATGTTCCTTGTTGGGGACCAGACTACCCGGAGAACAATAGGCAGTTCACGGCTTGTCCACACCTTTACCTGCTAGTGCCAGACGGTCAGCTTGGCTTGGTTTATCAGCAATAAACAACCATTGTTTCAGGGTTCCAAGTACTAGTACATTGTAAGACTAGAAAAAGACTACTTTATCAAAATCCATTTCTGATCCAACATACTCTACAACAACATAAGGAACAAGTCGATAACATCAAAAGTATAACTACAATTTGGTTGGCGCAAGCTTTTTAACAAGTTGATTACACTGGCGCACTCACTATCAAGTTTATCGTCTGTTGTTCCCCCGAGCAAAAGGGGTTCTATAGAGCTGCTACAACTGACCAAAATTTGAAAGAAAGTGTGTGAAAGGTTTTACCTATGTCAAACCACTAGTCTAAACACTAGTATAAGAGTACTCTCCTACGTCCTATAATGACAATTGCTTATCAAAACAAACAAAACGGCATCAAATCCAGAATAAACATGGAGGGTTATCAGACTTTTAATTATCAACAGTACCCCTGGTGTTTATGATAAATATACTCA